TTGAGATGACTGTAGCCCTGCCAGCAACCCAGAACCAAGGATCCAGCTAAGCTGCTTCTGCATTCTTGGCCCACAGAAACTCTGAGAAAATAAATGTTGTTTTTACATGCCACTAAGGTTTGGGGTAATTTGTTATATAACAGTAGATAACTAACACTGAATCTTGTTTTTCTATTGGAATAACAGATAATTCTGTACTTTTTTTTTAAACCCAAATCTCAAACTGAGGTTAGGAAAGGGGGTAATTTAATCCAACCAGAGGTTTTTTCAGTGTCATACAGTGAAAAAAATAATTGGAAGAATGTAGCCCAACAAATACTAGTTAAATTGAATTGAACTTAGAAATAATGAGCTGCTGAAATGTAAATGTTCATTATGCAGTAAAAAAGAAGTAGGCTAACAATGATGAGGAAAACTATGAACACCAGAACCTGTACTATGATCAAGAGTACTGTGATAACAACAGTTACTAGATATCAAATATTATTGAGTTTGAGTTTTGAGGAACTCCAACATTTAACTGAGGAAAATGAGCTGGGGAGGAGAGAGAGCATCAGAGAGGCAGGAAGATAACCAGGTAATGAGGAGGCCAGAAGAAAACAATGCTGACAGCTGACATGACTATAGGAACTTAGCTAAAGCTGAAGTGCAGTGAAGGTGGAAAGGGTCATATGGACTTTCTTCCCTACTGGTTACTGATAACCTTAGCACTGGTTGTGTGGGGTGGTAGCATAGGAACTAGTTAGACCCAAATAGTTTGAAGGATCGATAGGAGCAAAATAAAGGGGACAGTGAGTATAAACCACTACTCAGTAAATCCAAAGATAAAAAACATAAAAATGTGAGGAAAGAAAATGTTGAAAAAGAAGTGGGCATGTGACATACAAGTTGCTGGTGTGCTGAAATATTTTCAGGATGAGAGAGGTTAAGAGGGCAGACAAATGGGTTCTGACGCAAGTCTTGCAAACATTTAAAATGAAAATGCTCTGAATTCCTGATTTCCAAGTGTTATATTGTCAAGGGATAAGAGACGTGTTGCCTTTTTAAAAGGATTTTAGAGGATTATCCAAATACTTGGTCATATGGAATTCGTACCTGGAAAAAGGTAAATGTGTTCAAATAAGTAATCAGGTTGTTTTCCCAAGTCTAGGGGACAGAAAAAGTCCAATATGTTTACAGTTTCTAGGGGAGTAAAAAGCAGGTCACCTTCTCATGAAACTTTTGGTATGTTTTTTTCTTAAAGAGAGAAAAGGGTGAAATCTGATCTTTAGAAGTTCTGGAAAACTTTTAGACCTAAGAAAAGACAGAGCTGGGGTTGGTGAGGAAAGTGGAAACTGGGAGAAAATGGATAATTGAGCTTTGCTACTAAAGGTCAAGTATTACAAAAGACAGGGGGAAATAATGAGTGGAAGAGAGGAATTAATGTGCTTACTGTTCTAACTATGTCTATGCTTAGAACACATGGAATACATTCCATGTGATTGATGTATCAAATGTACTTGAGAACATGCAGACCTTTGCATTGGTGAATATTTCAATATTAAAAAGGGCATATTACAGAAAAACCATTCTTACCAAAGGAATAAACTTTTGTCTTTGAAATTTGAAACAACAAATACAAATAAAGCATGAAAAACACGTTTTGAAGTGTGCTAACAGATCAAGATTGCATTTAGCAAACCACCTTTTCTCTGTTTAAGAACAATCTTAGGGATTCCAAAACACAATATGTTAATTAAAGGATTTCAGGTAGCAATCATGGAATATTTTTCATGACAGATGAAGAACACAGATATTCTAAAGACTAAAATTGCATAAACAAAACAAAGAGACACTGTGTCCCTTTTGCGGCAGTGCAAAGTTAGAGTGAATGCAAATGAATGTGCTGGCAGTAAAATTACACTATTAACCATCTGAAGATTGGGCTCATTACCTAAGAAGGCAAAGCATCAATTTGTAGCATTATAACATTCTGTTTGTGCTGATGAACACGTGTTTGGATGTTTTTATATATTCTCTACTCATTTGGGTGCATAGTAAGCACTTTCGCTTCAGCCTCTTGATAAAGGCTTAATTTTGTATTGTTTCTGTTATATTGTTTTCTCTAATGGGAATGATATTCTGTCTTAAAAATAAACACTCCATTTATTCTCCAAATAATTCCGAGATCAGGTTCTTCTGTTTCTCATTATCAAATGGCATATACACAATTATGGATATGTCTTAAAATTGAGGCACTTTTTGACTTGAAAAATGTATATTTGAATAACATGAGGAAAATATTCATTCAGTTGCTCATTCTTCCATTCTTTAAATGCGCATGTATTGAGCTAAGCACATTGGGAAATTCAAGGGTGGATCTGACACTGCCTGCCTTCAGGATGTTTCTATGGCAGAAGTGGTAGAATCTTAGTGACTTCAAAACAGGCAGAGCTATCAAACCTCAGAGGAAAGAAAACAGTGGTGTATTACTGCCTTCTACAAACATTTCTGACCACCTATGATGTGACTGCCTCTGCTCTAGAGGCTGGGTAGATAGAAGGGAACAAGATAGTCAAGTCCCTGAGCTTATGGACTCTGCATCTTGGGGGAGAGATGAATAAGGAAAAAACAAACACATAAATACTATAACTTAAGGTAGCCAGAAGTGCCATGGAGAAACTAAAATGGGGTAATATGAAGGACAGTGATGGTGTGTGAGGAGTATGACTTTGAGGTCATCAAGGCCTCTGTGAGGAGATGGCAGCTGAGTAGAGATTTGATGATATATGGGAGCAAGTGTATGAAAATCTGAATAAAAGTCTTTTTACTAGGCAAAAAGACCAGTATGGAAAGGGCTTGAGGCAAAAATGAGCTTGGTATATTCTGGAACAAAAAGAAACCATATAACTAGAGTTTAGGAAAATGGGAGAGTGAGAGATGAGGCCATAGTAGTGGGAAGGGGCCAGATCCTATTGACTTCTGTAGGATGGGATAAAGATTTTATTCTAAGTGAGAAGGACATTCACTGGAGATTTTAAACAGGGTGTGCCATGATCTGATTTACATTTGAGAAGGATCATTCTGGATGCTGTGTGGAAATTCAGATATAGAGTGATAAGAAAGGTAACTAGGACAGAGATTAGGTATTTGTGAATTATCCAAGCTAGAGAGAACCAATGAGAAATGGACTCCAGTAGTCCAACCTACAGATGATAGATAGAACTTACCCTGGCAGTCCACTTAATGGTGGTTGGTTTGGGCTAGGGTGATAATTACCAAGGTGAAAGAAGTGGTTCCATTTTAGGGAAAGTTTCACAAAGGAAGTGATGTGGAACCATTTGAGCTTAACTTGACAGGCAGCCTTATGACAAGAGGGTAGTCACTTATTGATTTGAGTGCCTACCATGGGCTGCACATTGGGCTCAGTGTTGGGGGTATAGCAGTGTAAAAGTCCTCGCAGAGAATGAGGAGCAAACTAGCTGAAGAAGCAATATTTTAAGATACAAAAGTAGTGAAGTGAACAATACACTTGTAAGAATTACTTCTGGAATTAGTTCTAAGACTGCTTTATTCTTTTCCTTTTACTATAGAAAATTGTATGATCAAACTCCTTTGTATGCGTAACTCTCCTTGAATTTGCAAAAGTATTAAGGTTCTATCAGTAGACACTCAGTTCACTGTCAGTTGGCAAATTTCATCAGATCACTTCCTTAGAAACAGTGGTTAATATTTATCTTTCTCCTACTGAGGAGAAATTACAGCCTCATTAGGAAGGAAAAGAGCAAAGGAGAGTACAAAATATATGGTAAGTTCATACATCTAGGTGCAAGTCTAACTTTTCATCTGCTTTCAGTCTTGCCCCCTGAATCTTTTCCCAGCTGGTTGACCCTACTTCAACTTTCCCTCCTTCTCATGCCAATTGTATACTGCCTCCAAAATTGACTGCCTAAAGCAGTCCAGTCATGTCTGTTCCTCAGAGCCTACAGAACAAATTTCAAATTCTTTAGCCTGACACAGACTGACCCAATCTACTTTTTCTGCTTTATCTCTGGCTGCACTCTCTGCTCTCTAATTGTTTTAATCACACTGGATTTTTTTTTCTTTAAAAAAAAATTATTTAAAAAACTATGTTTTTTTTTGTTTTTTTTTAACCATAACACAAAATTTACCACCTTAACCTTTTTTAAGTGTACAATTTGGTGGCAATGATTGAGGACATTCACACTGTTGTGCAAATCCCATTGCATTTTAAATCACATAGTGTCATTATTCCCTTAATACTTTTGGCAATTTATATTTATATTTATATGATTTCTGCTGATCCCTGAAATGCTTTCCTTTTCCTTATCAGTTAAAGTCCTACACATCTTAAAGACCAGTGCTTAGATCCTACATCTTCCTTTAGGTTCCTATGAAACCTTATCTGGAAACAGAAGGTCAACTCTGTTGCTAGGTAACATAGGGCTTACAGTTAAAATGATATGTTGGCTTGCAAATTGCATCTAGACTGAGAGGATTTATACATGAACTATAAATACCTGATGGGGATTTGATACTTTGGTTTTCCTTGAGTGATGACTCATAATTAGGCAGACCTCTTGCCCCTAAAGGCAAAGACTATGGAGGGTACAAGAGATAGAGCCTCTCATGGGGCATGAGCTTTTAATTCAGGAACATTCCCACACCCACCAAATATTGATCTTGTCCTCTGGTACCTGAGCTGTCACCCGAGGGGCCTGGACTGATGTTTGTACCAGTATAAGGACTTGCACTGAAGAGAAGCCCTGAAGGTGCTCTGCTGGTCAGTGGTGTTTCCTGTATGACATTCTTGTCATCCACCTAAAGCCAAGTTTGGCCCACAGTGGTCTTGTGAGTCTGATTGTTTCATTGGACCTAAAAAGAACTGTTTTTGGGAGTTGCATCAATATGTAGAGATGTTGTCCTAAGTACCAATAGCCCTTTCATATCTGGATTGAAGACTCCTGTACATAGGGCCAGGCCAAGAAAGCATTGCTTACCTTTGGAAGGAGCTGGATTGCCTGTAGAATTCTTTGTCTGTGCCCAGAATTAAGGATTCCAATTTCCAACAAATCCTGATCTTCCATAACATTGCTTCCCTGAAACAAACCCAGAAATCTTAAAATCAGGTATTTTTACCATGGGTAAATAATGATTTATTAAAGCAGAGAAAAATAACTAACAAGTGAGCTGATTTTTACAAACAAAAACAGAGTCATTCTTCTGTGAGGGTGAGGGCAAGTAGGAGGTCACCTATGTGACTGAGTTGAAGGTCCTAGGAAAGCTTCCTTCCTCTCAGAAATGCTGTCATGGCTCACTATTTATGATTGGGTTATCTGCATTAGGGAGTCATTCCTGTGTTCTAAAACTCCATTCCCCTAAAAATGTAAATACTTCTGAGAAGAGTTGCCATTCAGGATCTTCAGTGACCTACCTATATGCTGACATGAATGAATCGGTTTTTAGTCTTCCCCTGAAAACAGATTGTGAAAGGAGGACTGACTAAAAAATTGAAATATACTAGGCTGGTTAAAAGTGGGAATTAATAATTAATCTTAAAATACTGAATGCCAGACATCTGATCAAGATATGGGGATACAACAATGAATAATTTGCAGGTCCCTGCCCACAACTGTCTTTATTCTTTCCAGTCCAGGGATGTAAAACAGATTTTCAAAGGCAGGTAGAAGGCTGTGAATGTGCTATGATGGTGACACATACTTGAGAACCCCAAGGGGATCTGGGGTGTGTTTTCCGCAGAGGTGATGTCTGATCAGATATCTGAGGCATGGTTAGGACTTAGCACTCAACAGAGCAGGACACAGGGAAATGACATACATTGTCCCGTGGGTGAAAAACAACATAGCATATTCGGAAGCACTGAGTTCTTGGATGAGTTGGAGAGAGGAACAAAAGTTAAGGCTGGCAAGGTAAGCCAAAGCCTGACTATATGCACATTGTACGCCAGCCTGAGGAATTCAGACTTCATCCTGACCATAACAAGGAGCCATGGACAGATTTTTGTTTTTAAGTTTTATTTATTTATTTGTCAGAGAGAAAGAGAGAGAGAGCACAAGCAGGCAGAGTGGCAGGCAGAAGCAGAGAGGAAAAGCAGGCTCCTCGCTGAGCAAGGAGGCCTATGCGGGACTCGATCCCAGGACCCTGGGATCATGATTTGAGCCAAAGGCAGCTGCTTAACCAACTGAGCCATCCAGACATCCCCATGGACAGATTTTTAAGAACAGGAATTACATATGAGATTCCAAATTTAGAAAGATCAGTTTAGTTTAGTTTTAGGGCAATTCAGTGGCTGGGGCTCAGTTTCTTTACCTGTACGATGACAAAGTTGAGACATACAATCTCCAAGAACCAGTCTAATCCTGAAATTCTTTGATTTCAATGACTTTTTTTATGCCTCTGATTAATAGTCTAATACAGAAACTTATAGGGGCGCCTGGGTGGCTCAGTGGGTTAAGCCTCTGCCTTTGGCTCAGGTCATGATCTCAGGGTCCTGGGATCGAGCCCCGCATCAGGCTCTCTGCTCGGCAGGGAGCCTGCTTCTCCCTCTCTCTCTCTGCCTGCCTCTCTCCCTACTTGTGATCTCTCTCTGTCAAATAAATAAATAAAATCTTAAAAAAAAAGAAATATAGATTGCTTATTTTGTTCCTAAATTTTAGTCTTTTGTAGCCTGTAAGCTAGCGTTTCCCTTTAAATTGAGGGGTCTATAAGGAAGTTCAAAATTTGAAGCATTCCTTTTCCTGGACAAATGAAACTATCTTATTAATGTATAACAAAAACATTTATAAGTAGAAATTACAGAACACATCTTTATGGAGAACAGTGGGTACCAACAGATATTTAAAGCAAAAGAGAATGAATTTGAAAGGGCAATCCTGGGAGCATGGAGACCATTAGGAGTTAGTACAGTTGTTGTAGAGACAATGTGGGCTTAGACTGAGGTAGTGGTGGTCATGGGAAATAGAAAGACACGAGTGGGTTCGAAACTATCAAGAAGTTTGACTCAGCGACTGAATATGTGGAATGATGGAGAAATGCAGAATACACAGTAGTTCCGGGCTTGGGCAATGGGGGTGAATCATGATGCCTTTCCTGAGGTAATAAAGGAGGATGGGCCAGTCTTGTGTGGTACAGAGTGAGATTAGTATCTTTCCCTGTATAGGGACAGAATAGATGCATGTGAACAATTTAATATCAGACTGCATTATAAATGGGTAATTGATTGCTCTTAGAAAGATTAAAGCCATAAGAATGGTACCATAGCTAGAGATTTAAAATGGGCATTCACTGGACAAAAACATTCCACCTACTCATGGTATCCTTCCTATGTTTAAGCTACCCTGGCCTTCTCAGAGGAGGCAGAACGATCCAGGTAGATAGCAGCATGATAATGAAAAGCCTAATGAAAAACAAATAAAGCCAGTGTTGGCAAAATGCCACAGGAGACATTGCTCTCAAGAAATTACTCTGTGCACACAGTAGAGCATGGCTAAGAATATAAATGGCTTCATTTTGAGAAAGCATTATTATTTTCAGAAATGGACCAGTATGTCATGAGTAGGATATATGATACTATTCTGTATTTGACTTTTAGTCTTTAAAGGGTTTCCAAAAGGAGTTAGAAGGATCTTAAAAAATAAAAACAGAACAAACAAACAAACAAACAAGAAACAGAAAACTTTGTCTATGTGCTAGACCATTATCAGCTTTTCCATGGCCTAAATTAGCAACCCACAACATCAGCTCACACACATTCCTTGGGGTGTCTGTGCTTGTCTTCTGTCAGTGTCTTCTGCTTCAGTAATTATAGATACCTACTATCTACAGGTAATCCTGAAAATTTGAATACTGAAATTATTTGAAGGATTAAATCCTTAAAAAACCACTGTTCTTCTAAACTACCAACACACCATCTTCCCTACCTTCAGTATGAGGAACCTTTTTGAAAAATTGTAGGGAAGTTAGACATCTTCTCTTTGGGTCAAATTTCCTAGCATATGGAATAATTACCAAACACTCTTGAAAAATGAGTGAAAATTTGGGAAGCACAGTGCAAATGGTGAGAATGTGCCCAAGGGGAAATGGTACTAATTGTGGAAATGTAAAGAAAAGGATTCTCTGTCCCCAATGAGGCATGCTGTTAGAAATTTTCTATTTTCTCTCTTACTGCAATATATAGAGATACCAAAAATATCCTGGTGCATCATCTAGCCAGTCTTTTTCTGAAACACCACCAGGCTTGGAGTCTAAAGATCTGGGTCCGAATCTTGTTTGGGTAAACTTAGCTAAGTCATATATTATTTCTAGGTCTCATGGTCCTCACCCGTAAAATGCAGTTCAATGAATACACATTCAGTTCTAAAATGCTATCATTTCAGTCATTTCTAACTTTCAATTAGTAGCTTTATATGTAAATATAGATTGTATAGTTTGAAGTTACATTTACATTGCAATGACATTTTAGTGTTTCGGAGCTTGCAACCTAAAGTTAACTTTAAGAAGTATGGTTGACCCTTGAACAACATGGGTTTGAACTGTGTGGGTCCACTTAAACTTTTTTTTTTTTTCAATAAATACAGTACAGTACTGCAAATCTACTTTCTCTTCTTTATGACTTTCTTAGTAACATTTTCTTTTCTCTAGTTTACTTCATTGTAAGAATACAGCATATAATATTTGTAATTTACAAAATATGTGTTAATCGACTGTTGGTTATTACAAAGGCTTCCTGTCAACAGTGGGCTATTAGTAGTTAAATTTTGGGGGAGACAAAAGTTATATGCAGATATTTGGCTGCGGCAGGGCAGTGGGGGTATGGCAGGGGGGGGTGGCCAGCACTCTAAACCCCTGCATTATTCAAGGATCGACTGTAATTATAGAGAAATACAAGAATGCACTTTTTTGGGGGACAAATTAATCTCAGTATTAAGTAGGAACTTATAACATTTATTATTAAAAGAAATGACAGAATACCGTCAGTCTGTAATATCAAGGCTTCTTACAGCTTTTCAGGAAAGAAATAAATGTCTCAAATCCTACAACTAACCATTTCATTTGCACTTGGGTAACAGATGTGCCATCAAAGACAATAAACATTTCCATTCTTCCTGGGGAGCTGGAATTTATTCTGATGTTATGACTTGCCTTCACTAAATGTTAGAAAAATCACAGCTTATCTTTTTTTTTACCCCCCTCAGTAATAGCTGAATGTAAACTCTGGCTTTCTCTCTCCTTCCTTTTTCACATGACTGCCAGATCAAAGGTTTTTGGAGTAGAGCTCCATGATGTGTGTCTTTTGCTTAATCAACTACTACACTGTACTGTCTACCCCGTCATCCCTAGTACGCATGCTGTGTCTACTTCCTATCTCCCATTTACTCCTCAACCCACCACAACAAGCTTTTACCCCATAGAGTTTCTCTGCCAAATGTTGAGAAAGATGTCTCAATTGCCATATCTAGTTGATTCTTTTCAAACCAGATTTCAAAAATGTGTTGGCCACATGTGGCTGGTGGCTACAGTACTGGACAACACAGAGAAGATTTCTGTCATCAGAGAAAATTTTGTTAGACAGTGCTTCTCCATAATTAAAGACATTGAAACTGTAGTTGAATCACATAGGGAAAAAAATGGGGACTGATAGGGAATCAGAACAGGGAGTCAGAAATACTCATGAGTCATCCTCAGGATATAATTGATGTGCTTCTTAGTCAAAGTTCATGAACATAAAATTGAGGATATTTAGCAAATTTTCTTCTAATTTTTCAGTCATTAAAACAAATTAGTAGCAGTTCTATTTTCATTAGTGTTTCTATGGGACTAGAAATCTATGCTATCAAAATGACAAATCAAATCAAGGAGTAATTTCTTATTTTCTTAGCACACTACCAGGCACATTGCACAAGGCACTTAGGGAATAATAATCAGCAGATAAAGTTGCTTAGTAAATGACTTACTAGAAGGATCAAAGGCCCAAGACAGTGTTTTTTTAGAATAGCTGTTCTTTTACTGACAAGAAATATCTAATCCAGGGGTTCTTTATTGCTTTCTTAAATCATGGAATGGGGAAAAAAATAACATA